TGGAACTGCTGGGGCACCAGACGGTGGTCGCCCATGCGGTTCTGGTTGAACGACCAGGTGGTCGTCTGAATAATGCCTGCATGAATGGCGGCAATGTTGTCCCACTCCTTCTCGCGAGCAGTCTCCGAGGTGAACTCTAGAATGGGCGGCATGCCATACTTGTCGAACTCGAAGCGATCTGCAAGAAATGGTTATCTATTAAAAAGACATTTTTAGGATGAGCAATAGAACTTACTTTTCTTTTTAGTGACCTCTTGCCTGTAGGAGGCTCTGCCCATGCTCTTGTTCAGCGACTCGGAGAGGGTGGAGAACACCCTCATGGTGCTGTCCTCGCCGGAGGTGAGAATGGAGACTCCCGAGTTGCCGTGGTAGCGGATGCAGAGTGGCGGCTTTGTGTGTCCCTCGCGAATTCTCAGCTGTCTAGCCCCACCGTCCGGCATATCGAAGATGAACATCTTCATGGAGTTGTCTGGCGAGGTGGTGAAGACCACGGGCTCGCTGGGCAGGCAAATCGCCGTGGTCACCGACTCCTCGTGCGCGTGCAGCTGACCGGCCAACTTGCGCTCCTCCAGATTCCAGAAGGCCATGTAACCATTGCTACAAGCAGACACAAGGATGGGTGGGCCATCAGTGCGAAAGGCGAGGCTGGTGACCTGGCCCCAGTCTTGCTGGAAGCGCATCAGCACCTCGTCGAACTTCAGGTTGATCAGGACGATGGCACCGTCTCCATGACCCACGGCCACAACATCCAATGCAGGAGCAGGTTCGATGCAGGTTATCCTGCTCTCGTGGTGGCTCAAAGTGCACACCACGCTGTTCTTCTTGATGTTCAGGATCTTGAGTTGTCCCTGCTGGGAGCCGAGCACGATTTTGTTGATGTATGTGGGTGGATGTGCCACCGCCGTGATCTGGAACTCCTCGGGCCGGAAGGGCACCTCCAGATAGACATCTTCGGTGGGTATATTCCACACCTTTAGCACATTAGCCCGATCGACAGCAATCAAATTGGAGCCGAAGGGCAGCAGGAGGTGGACATCCTTCTGGTGGCCACGGTAAACGTGTCGCATGTGTTTGCCCGCCCGCCAGGCGAAGATGCACTTGTTGCTTGCCGAATACGTATGCAGGCGATCGGTGGCCAGGGCCGTAATCTCGTCCGGATGCAGGCCGCTGACGTGCAGTAGCCGGAAGTGGTTGGCGGTGTACACCTGGAAGGATCTGCCGATGCAGGTGATCAGCAGAGTGTCCCGGCGACGTTGAATGTAGCGGGTGACCGCCGGAACCTGGTTGCTCACGTAGCCGAGGGCTCGATTCCGCCGGAAGATGCAGCTGCTCTCCTTGAACACGGACTTCCGCTCCTCCGACTCAGGCTTTTCATCCGTCTCCAGGTGCGTCATTGTAGCGTCTTGTTCGTCCCTTTTCCTTGATTTTCTATTATAAATCCCACGATTTCTGCAACATGCCGAAATGTTTACGGACGAAACACGTGTGGAGCAGTGTGACCGCAGCTGAAAAATACCACTGGAACACTAAAAAATACTAAATTAAAAGCCATCGTTTTCATTGGGGGTATTTGTTAATAATAATTTCGAGGAAACCCACCAATTTGGTGGTAAACTCTGATTTAATATTTGAAATACTAACTCTTTAGATTATCCATTTCAAAGTGAATTGAAAAACTGGTTTCTAGTAATAAAATAAGAAATAATGGGTTTATTAAAGAAACTGAGGTCTTTTAATAAGTTATATTACTTAAAATTAAAAAGTAAAGTACAATTACCATTAGAGAAAAATTCTATAACAAAAATTTATAAGAAATCATACTCGTTTAAGAAATGCAGTATAATTTATTCGAAGTGAGAATAATGAACACAACTTGCAATACCAATTTTAAATAAGTAAATGCTAAAAATAATATGAGTACAATGTGCTTCTGAAACTTTTGTTCTGCGTAGAAAGGGTTTATTTCTTAATAAAGCCTTATATTAACTTAAATCAAAAACTTACGAAAGGATCGACAAAACTGTGATTCCGTGAAATATAGACAGTCGCTTTGAGAAAATCCAACACTTCTTGATCAGATGTAAAAATATTTAAGAAATTTCAAAACTCCTTGATTAGCCTTCGGGAGATTTAAGGAATATATGAAAACCTAAGCAACCAATCGCCCACCGATAAGCCGTAAACCCAAAACAAACCATCAATGAGCAACACTTGAGATCAGCTAATTCAATAAACGAACTCCAGATTGCACAAATGTGATTAGGAATATAAAAATATCTATGCCACTTAAATGCGGCCTTTTGGACGACCGACATTTTTTGAATATTTTCACTATGCCAATCGAAGATGGTTATCCGGGGGTCTATCTGGAGTGTTGATTCTGCGGATTTTGACCGGTACGAGGAACTGCAATTGTTATTATTTATACTGAGTGTTATCAAGCGTTCTTATCGCCATGAGAGCTACTGTAAAACTCTCAATCCGAAATGGATTGATAAGTCCGGCAGGAGCCCATATAAAACCTGGTGCGTCCATGCGTGTGGCATTGTGAAAGTGAAAGCCAAATATAAATATACGCCATGAAGTACCTGCTCAGCGTGACCTTGCTTTTGGCCATGGGGCTGCAGCAGATCGATGCCCACGGCATGATGCTGTCCCCGCCCAGTCGTTCCTCCCGTTGGCGCTACGACGGATCCGCCCCCCAAAACTGGAACGACAACGAGCTCTTCTGCGGCGGCTTGTATGTGAGTGGAGGCTCTCCAAAATAATACCATACTTGAAAAAGGATTTAGAAAAATTTCGAATAGGTCTTGAATATTTAGTAGAATTGTATAAATGAGAGAAAAGCTATTGTTCTTGAATTTTAAAGAGCGCTAATCTTTCATTTTCATTCGGCTACACCCAAAAATATTTAATTGGTAAATTGTACTAATGAGGATAGCAATCTTATTATAACAAATGGTTCCCTATCATCAAGAATAGAAGTATATTTTATATGGGTTATTATTTAATGGTAAAGGTACTAGGTATCGTTTTTGTATTTCGTTGTTGTGAGAGCTAAAATTGGCAATTCCACCATTGAATCTATTTTAATATTATATTTACTTATAGAAAGAAAGAAATTCGGATGATCAAAAAACAAAAACGAAATCATACTAGATTCTGAAGAAGAAAAAATATAAATGGTATAAACAGTCAACGTTTTGTAAGGTATTCCAACCAAAAGTTCCTAAAAACTTATTTTGTAGTAAGTCAAAAGGATTTCTGTCTATATTGTTTATATATTATATTATTATCTACTAGATATTATATAATATCTTATAATTTAAAAGCACTTTTTATATTTTAGTAATGAGTTCCTAAGATTAAAATACTTATATTTCTCTATGACTCCTTAGACCCAGTCCAACAACGGAGGTCGTTGCGGTCTGTGCGGCGACAACTTCTTGGATGGCCAGCCCCGCGCCAACGAGATCGGAGGAAGTATCGGTGGAGCCGGCGTGGTGACCAGGAGCTACGTGGCCGGCAATGCCATCACCGTGGGCGTGAAGATCACCACCAACCACTTGGGCTACTTCGAGTTCCACCTGTGCAATCTGGACGCCTTCAGTGGCGAATCGGAGGAGTGCTTCGAGCAGAACCGCCTGCGTTTCCCCGATGGCAGCGAGAGATTGGAAATTGGCCAGCAGAGCGGTGAATTCGATGTGACCTGCCTGCTGCCAGAGGGCCTGACCTGCAATCACTGCGTCCTCCGGTGGACCTACGTGGGTGGTAAGTTTTTAAAATTTAGGATTTGGATAATTAACCGAGTGATACTCATATTGCAGCCAACAACTGGGGCATCTGCGATAATTCCGGCAACGGAGCCCTGGGCTGTGGCCCCCAGGAAACCTTCAAGAACTGCGCCGATGTGAGCATCAACTGGGGTCGCAACCTGGTCAAGGAGCTGGTCAGTGGTGGCCAACCTGTGGCTCCCATCGAGGTGGTCTGAAAATCCGATTAGCCAAAATTCGACGAACTGCCAATTAAGTCTGAAAGTGCTAGAAGCCAAAAAATCAGCCAAAGTTAAATAAATACGTGAACATTATTAACATTATTCCATGGGGTTAATGGAGGCGTCATTTAAAATCGCGAACAGGTTCATTGTCATAATTGAAGTGTTTTCTGAGTTTATATTGACTGATTATTTCTATTATATTTACTCCAGCATTATATTGGTTGTCCTCCTTTTCTATACACACTTATTAATGGTGTATCCATGACGCAAGTAGTGTTGTGCCAACAAAACACATATGGCTAACCACAAGAGGGTTTAAAGGAAGAACACACACAAAATAATGTTTATTTAAAGTAAATTTCATAGCAATATTAGATAAATATAAAACTAATTGTACATAAATATATGCAACGAAGGTATTATACATATTTGTTTTTCCCATAAAATATAATATGTATATATTTTATCTTTCTTAAGAACACCTTCGTTGATCCCATAAAGTTTTTCGGTCAGTGTAAAAGGGCTGAACTAACCGCAAAGGAAAGGATAATGGGTTCCGGACATTTTTAAATTATTTGACACGAATGTACTTTACCCTTCACTTCTCAATATTTTTTTAAACAAGTAAAAATTAACCCATAAAAAAGGAAAAAGTAGATCTAAACATTTTATTATCTAGGATATTCAACACTGATTATTTATCGTTGGGTTTCTTAAGAACAATATTATAAATTCGGTCGGAAATAGGTGACACACAAATTTTTATTTGTAATACAGTTGCAATGTAAAAGTTATAAGCGGTTGCATATTGAAGGAATAATCCTAACAATCCCAAAAAATAAATATTAATGCTTGTCCTAGAACTTTTTTTAAGTGCATGCACGGGTTTTGAATTGAATGAATTCTTTAAAGGAAAACTTGTGGTTTCGCACATCGCCTAGACTATATAAACCATTCAATTTTAGCTCCCACAAAATTGTGCAGTGAATTCAGCTTGATCAACATGAGCATTGACTTAAAAAAGAAGATTTTCGCTAAAGAGATTAAAGCCGTGGAGAAGTCGAAGGAGGTTTTTCCCGTAGCCGATGACTTTCTAAGGCTGGCCAGATTTTTCTTTCACTCTATTGGTGTGGAACCCTACGAATCGGACCAGGAGACGAGCTTGGGATTTCGACTGTACCTTGTATTCCACGTAATCAACATGTTCTTTATTTATATCTTAATGATGGTGTTTGTGACGAGCTCCGTGGGTCCCAATGCGGATTTCCTCCATATTTCCATGGTCGTGGGCTATATCACTTTCGGCAATGTTGGTGTCTTAAAGATAATCGTTGTTCAGTTGCAAAAGCGAAAGTTGAGCAGCCTGGTGCGGCACATGAAGTCGTTATTTCCACCGCCAGTTGCCAAGGTACAGGAGCAGTATGCTGTGGGACACTATATGAAATTCTGCTCCCTGGAACTGGCGCGAAAGTTGGAAATTCTGGCCGGCTTATTTGCTTCAGTCCATAGCAGCTTACACCTGCACTTGCGGCTATATATCCGCCGATCTCATGATGTTCGCCGTGGTCATCCAGGTCATCATGCATTTCGATAGATTGGCTAAAGCTCTCAGGGAATTCAATGTTCGTAACAATCGCGATGCCAGTGGAGCTGAGGAGGATTTAAGGGACTTAAGATCTCTAATCGCTTACCACATCCAAGTACTAGAGTAAGTTTATCACGAAATTACGTACAGAAACAATAATAATCTTTTCCAGAATCACGGACCTTATGAACAATGTCTTTGGGGTGGCATTGCTCCTGAACTTTATCAACTCCTCGCTGCTCGTTTGCAATGTGGGATTTCAGCTGACCGTTGGTTTTAGTTTGCTGTATTTCGGAAGACAGGTGCTAATCATAGTCTCCGCTCTTGTGGAGATCTACCTCATCTGTTCCTTGAGCCAGATGCTGATCAATGCGGTCTGTTTTGAGTTCTTCATACTGCTTTCATAGTGATTCATACCGATATTATATTTGCAGAGTAATAACGTTAGCTTTGCTGTCTACGAAATGAACTGGATGGAGTGCGATGCTCGATTCCGGAAAATGTTACTATTTATAGCTATGCGGGCCCAGAAGCCCGTCTGTCTACATGCCACTGTATTTCTGGACATATCCATGGAGACCATGAGCTCCGTGAGGTTCCGTGACTTTTAAGTTGTAATAGCTGTTTACATTCTATATATTTTCAGTTCATGCAAGTGTCGTACAGGTTCTTTTGCGCCATTCGAATGATGTATCAGTAGATGGAGTTTAAAGGGTATCATAAATCAAATTACATCATAAAACCTACTGAAAAGTGGATATAAGTCGAAAGTTTAGGTCAAATGGTAAATAGATTTAAGTCGATAGTGTAGCTCAAAAAGGTAAGAAAAAAGCTACTAAAACAAACGTATATAGTCAAAGTTTGGATTCAAATGTTAAAATAAACATAAATTAAAACAATGAAAGTAATTCTTTTATAGCAGAGTAGATTTTGCGTTTTTTAACTATATGGGCGACGTGTTGACAGACAATTCAAGTAAGCTCCCAAAATTTGGTTCACCCTAACGAAAGCTAATGTGAAAAGGCTTCACTGAACAGAGCGCGCACTGTAATGTTAATGTTAAGCTTTGAGTTAACAGTTTCCGTTACTTTGCGCAGCCCTGGCTGAGCTGCGATACGGCCCTGGTAAACCGCAGCCAGGGGTGGGCGAAAAAAAACAGCTGACGCTGCGCTTGTAATCCTCCCCGAAAACAAAAAAACACGAAAAGCTTGTTTCGCTTTTACACACATCCACATCCACAACCACTTTCCAGCGTCTTGGCCGCGTCATGAAAATAATACTCGCCGCCTGTTCGGTGGCGGATTGGGTGGTTGGCTGCTTGGGGGCTGGTGACGTCGACGTTGGCGGTGTTGTTGTTGCTTTTGTTGTTGCTGTCGCTGGATGAGCTCATACGAAAGCGAAAAGAAACAAGTTTAGCTTTTTGGAATACGGACGATACGATACGACGACTACGAATTGCAGCTTCAGTTTCAAACGAAACGCCAGCGACGCCGGACAGAGAGAACGAAAGAAAGAAGGGCAGAAAGAGAGCCGCAAAAAGAAAAACAAAAAACAAAAAACAAGAAACGAAAATCGAAAAAGTGTGTGACAAAACGTGTGTGTGCTCGCGTGAGTGTGTGTGTGTGCCTGTGCGTGTTAGAATTGTACTAGCTGTGGCATTAGTATTAGTACCATTGCTAGCAGAAGCGCCTTTCTTTTTGCCACTAATTGGTACCAAAAAAACACAAAAAAGAGGAGATTTAAAGAGCGTGTTACGTGGCCGTCTTTCCAACTGAACCAACTGACCAGCTGAGCTAGAAAGCACGCTTCTAATCAGAGTCTAATTAACAGTTTAACTTGAATATTTCTAGGCTAACGACACAAAATTCTAGTGAAAAAATAAACGAGAGAGGGGTTAAAACTCTTGAGCGGCTAAAACAAAATCAATAATTGGCCCTGCGTCCGGCCCTCTGTGTGAGTGTGTGTGTGTGCGAGAGTGTTTGAGTGGGGAGTGTGTGCGTGTATTTGTGAGAACGACAATTGGAGCAATGCCTGCTGATTGATAGCAAAAAAAAATACAAAAAAAGGGTTAATAAATATATAAAGGAACCACTCAAGTGAAGAACTAATAAGAATTAATTAGTGCAATAATTGAGCAATCCAAAGGCCATGCAACCCGCAACGCCCAGCACGCCCGTTAATAATGCCCCCTTGGCGGCCAACTCATCGTCGGCCACCCCTGTTGCCGCCGCCCCTGCTATCAGCAGTGCCAGTGCCAGTGGCGGCCAGGGGGCCAGCAGCACCCCCATACGCATCAACAGTGCCAAACAGGCGGGGGGCGGTGGGGACACGCTGACGCAACCCTCCACCCCCCACTCCCACTCGATGCCCGGAACACCGCAGCAGCAACAACAGTCGAGCAGTGTGCCCACCGGCAGTCACCTCCTGCAGCTGCAGGCGCCCCTGCCCTCCGCATCGGGGGTGGCGGTGCTGTCACCCCCTCTGGCCTGTCCATGGGCGCATCGAATCAATCGCTGGGCGTTAGTGTTGGCGCCGCCAGCAGCGTCAGTGGCATCAGCATCACGCCGCCGAATAGCGCCGGATTGCGTCAGTCGACAGGTGAGCTTGACCCCCTTTTTACCCGCCCCCCTCTCTGTGTTGTCTCTTTCTCTCTCTCTCCTCCACCTCCATTCAATGTCACTTACACTCGTTCTCTCTTACTCTCTCACTCTATCAGCGATTCGATCAGTCGCAATCGATTCTAATGCAATATCGATTATCGCAAAAACGCACACACATTCTCACAAATAGCATAAAAAGAAGCCATTCATAAATTAGAGGAAATTGAGTACATTTGCTGATTACCCATTCGAACTTTCCCCAAATGAATTTTAACCCTAGATGAACCAAAATAATCTCAAGAGCTGTATTTAAAAAGCTACAAATAACAAACAATCATAAATTAAAAATACTTTATGTAAATTCCTTTAATTAGTTTATCTAAAGTATTATTTATATCATAAGATTGTATCTAATAAACTTCCCTGGTTATTATTGCATGTAATAAGGCATTCTTAGACCTTCTTATCTTATCTTAACATCTATCGACTGAATCAACAACAATAAAAGCAATTGACTCAATTCCTCAATTCAGATATAATAAATTAATTTCAGGAAGCAAACAAAAAAAGTCCATAAAACCATAAAAAATAATTTAATAGTCAAGTTAGGAACCCAAAGATAACACATTACGGTAACATTCCGGTTTTGACCGCATTTGTAAACCCATAGGTTCTGATTTTCCGTTTTTTGATTTCCATTTCCGTATGCTGTGCGCTTTGCTTGTTTTGATTTCGCTGCTGCTCACATTTCAAAATTCCAGCTCATTCATCAGTCGCCTGCCGGCTAATCCGCAAACCCGTACCCCCATACCATCCGTAATCCCACTCCATCCGATCCCAGGGGCCACGTTATCGCTTAACACTCGGCTTTTGTTCGTCATTTAGCGCGCTTCCGCTCTGCGGGCCCATTCATCCATGTGAGATTCAGGCGCTTGTGTTAATTGATTTACATACCAGTTGTCTGACTCTAGTCAGTTTGGTTGGTGGGTTTTGGTTGCTAGGCTACTTGTTGGTCCGGATATTTTTTGGGGGGCCATTGTGGGGGCTTGGTGACTGTCAAATTGGTTAACTGGCGCTTGCCATTTGCACCTGTGCGGAAACCCACGGTGAAGGTCTGTCGCTGTAAACACACAAGCTGGTACCATGGCAATAGACGATGTTCATCTGCCGGATCATATCAATTAACAGCGTAATTGAGTTCTTTGTGTAGTCCATTAAATACCACTAACCCGCATTCCTTTGTTTTTTAATATTCATTTTCAAATATCCAAATAAACGAATTATAGAAATCATTCTATTGAATAAAATTGAGTCACTACTCTGTAAGTTTTCGGTTATCTCAGATGACATCACATCTTTGTAAACTTTTCTTAATATTAAGATATAATGAACATTTTTTCTCATTGCCGTTTCTTTTATTTTTGGCTTTTGTATATAAATCAGAAAAGACCATATGCGACGTTCCTCTGTCAGTCTATATAAAATTTTATAATTGAGTTTACTTGCTCAGAGATGAGATCATATTTCTGATGTTTAATTGAACAATGTTATTCAACTTAGTTTCTTACGGGGTTCTGTTAAAAAGTATACACAAAGTAAATAATAACTAGGGAAACTCGCCTTTATAATGGGAACTTAACCACCAGTTGTTGGGTTAAGCGATCCCATCCTTTTTATTGATTTCCATATTAGAAATTCAATACTATGAATTTAAATCAAAAGCTATAATTGGTCTGTGAATTTTAACAATTGCTTTTAGAAAACATATGTTCGGGTTTCTGATTTCATTTTTTATGCGTTTTATCGATTACCTTTTTACTTTTACTTTGTAACAAATTGGGACGTGGTTAAGCGGTTAGTTGGGGTTTAGGATTGTCGGGGGTTACCTGGTAACCAACGTTGTTCTACGACATTTTGCACACGCACGATTTGCTTCGATGTCATTGTGGTTTGTTGCTGTTGTTTATTGTTTGCTTTATGGTGTGCAACCGTCATTAAAATTTTATTCGCATGCTGTATTACTTTATAGCCCAGATGTATATCCATAACTCAACACTATCTCTATACATATATGAACAGGTGTTAATTGGGGTGGACTTTTATGCCAGCTGAAGGTTATGAGTATGAAGTTCATGCGTTGCGAAATTGCCGTTTTAAGAAACTGGTTTTATTTTTTACGATAAATAACCTTTCTAAAGTTGAAAATTGTAATATTTTTGTGGGTACCTTATATTTTGCATACCAACCAGGTCCACCCTACAGCACCCTATATCTTATATATACGCAATTAGCTGACACAAGCACTCACACTCTTACTCACTTTCCATCCGAATGCGACTTTATAATTACCATTGTAGTCGCCTCGTCTTTTGCTGTTTATTTTTGAGGCCCCGGGCGGTCGGAACAGTGGGTGCGAATAAACATTACTCGCATGGAAAACTATGCGAAAAACTGCATGTCATAAATGTTCGGAAAAGCGTACACCTGGTAAACAGGTAAACACATCCACACCCACCACTCCCTTTCAACTGTCCTCCTTTTGCTATCGGTGGCACGCGGAAATGTTCAGAGGTGCCAAAAGGGAAATTGCGTACAAAATAAATACAAGAAAAATCGATGCATGACTGCATTTTGTATGATGTCTTCGTTTCTGGGCTAGTCAGAGCTTAAGTGAATTGAGATCTGTGTAGAATATGAATTTTAAAGATATATTTGTTTTTAATAACAGTTCCTAAAATATAATTCAAATGTTTTTTTAAATGACGAAAATATAATAATAGTTCATTTATGGAACTCTTGGTATTACATATATAATTTACTTGTTGTATGGTTTTCGAATTAAATACACAACTTTAAAGACGAATGTTTCTACCATCATTTTTAGCAGAGTGTTGATTTAAGGGCAGGACGAAACGGCACGATGGTGGGTCAGTTTCCCAACCCTCTTTTTTCGCCGTGTTCTATTTTTGTTTTCGCTGAAAATTGTTTCCATCTCCGAAAGGTCAAAAGTGAGATAGAGAATGCAGAGAGAGATGCAGCTTACACAGAGAATAAAGATCTTTAAAAGTCTTTCGTTATTAAAAAAATGAATTTTTAAAGCTAAGTAATAGGGTATAGCTAATAATATTTCTAGTGAGTATCTAATCAATTTAACCAGAATATTCAGATGATGGCTTACAGCTGATAAAATCCTTTTTTCTCTGTGTATTAGAGGGATTCAGCAGACTAATACTATTTACATCTGAATTTGCATACTGAACGAGTCACTTGATTGTGTGCGTTCCGCTCTGAAAGAGTGTGTAGGTGTGTCTG